TTTATGCGGTATATTCATAACCTTTCTCAGGACAAGTCTGCGCAACATATTTTCGAGAATTTATCCAACACAGGCATATTCCATCTAAGCTAAATAGCATTCCTAAGAAGATAATCACTATTCCCTTCAGTTTGTTCCGGTTTATATATCTACGGTCCGCCTTAGCAAACTTTGCTAAGATTACCAAAGGTGTTAAGGTTAGCTGATATATGGCTCCCTTTTTGTTCATCCATACGTTAGCAACATACAGCGCATCATGCTCTGATTAAATGCAAGACCTCTAGACCCTTTCGGTCGAAAAGCACAATATAGTGTCACCATCAACCCCACTAACTGTGAGATTAGAAAAGAACCTCTTTACTCCCTTGGTCACTTACTAGACTGACAAGACATAAAGTTTATTCCAATAGACTCCCACTTATCAGAGTGATTTAGAAATCCCAGGCTATCTTTTAGTTTTATTAAATTCTGTTTCCGATTTATATCAAGTTGAGCATACATTTCCAGTCGTTGAAATGTGTCACAAAAACTCATTTTAGAACTCTACATATAGCTTCTACTGATATTCCGATATTTTAGTAGTTCAAAGAAGTTCTTATTTCTCAGGTATTTTTAGTGAACTGTGATGTACGTTTGTTTCTGTCTATCGTGGCTGATGCACTATATGAAATGGCTGAAACAGTCCAGTAACTACTTTCTGTTGACAAATGACACCTATACTGTTACTACCAATCGTTTAAAAGCAGCTCATTCCGAAGGCAACCTCATCATAAGTAACCTTTCTGCTCACTAAAGACGACCGACGGGTAGACCAATTATCGAAATTCTTGACAATGTGCATGGTATTACACAAATACAACAACCACCGGCACAACAAAAACACGGTCAGGTCAAACCGTCAGGTTGTAGCGCATTCGAAATCTTATTCATCCACCTTGAAGTTCCGATTTCTAGACTGCCTCACATCTTCGTTGTCCAGCTCCACCGTTGGTCAGTTATCTTTTATTATTAAATGTAATTACATCCTATGTACTTGCTGAGTCGTCGGCTCACCTTTCTTCTCCTCCTTTTTGCTTTTCCAGATTCTCATGGCCACCACCAAACTCACACTGCTCAGCGCGCCCCCTGTTACAACGTACCTATCAAGAGCCTAGACGAAAACTTATCAACAACTGGTCATTACAATGTTCCCGGAGTATCTCAAGTCATATTTAACCGAGCAGTGCCAGTTAAGATGTGCCAACCATTTTTAAATTCAATTTTTTCGGAGGCACCATATTTTGTCTACTGGAATGAGAAAATTCTACTATATGATACCTTTTTTGATACAGGTTTTACTACCACGTAATCATACTTTTTCAAAAAAACAAAATGAAAATAAGCAAAAAATCTAGTTTCGACATGTTTATACATAAAATGTTTCCTATATTTACAAAACGTTTTCGCGATATTAAAGACTTTCGTTTCTGTTACGGGTGCGACGAGCACCGAACTGACTGTCAAAGGACACTGAGGGTCACGATCGACGTACAATTTGATTTATTGTATTTTATTTTTCATTCGCCAAGACACCCTAGAATAAGTTCAGGCAACCAGGGGCCACTTCTCTTAGCGAGCCCATCGGAAGAATTTCGCCAGTGGAAAAACCATTCGTTTTTACTTCCGGATAGCATTGTCTCAGGGTCCTCACTGACCCACTAAGGGGAGTGATCTGTAGCGTCATACACTTTCCCAGAATCAAAAGCCTAGGGTTCGAAGGGATTCAACATTGATGCTGACCTTCATAGTTTAACTGAACTCGCTAAGCTGAAGGCACCTGGTCAAGCATCCAGGCCATTCGGTACGCTATCGTGTTACGTTGCACTGCTCGTAATCGACCCTCTAGCCAGTTGGTTGGCATCCATCGGTAACTTGGCATGACCTCGCAAATATACTATTCCATCCGGCTAGGCTATTGAGTTCTTTCTTGGTCTCGTATTCGTGAGTATATAATAAGTACGAATAATTAGCGATTGGTCTCTGCGTTCGTCAAGTTCGCACATGGACGATTCTCAAACAGCGTTATTGAGAATTAACTGTAAAAATCATTGACAATAACTTGGCATTATTCTGACACTCATCAACGATTATCCTTTCCGGCTTTTGGTGTAAAATCTCAGTTTCTGCACACAATAAGTGCATTACTTTTCTTTTTGGTATGAACGAAAATCAAAGGCACCGGACTTCGAGGAATGTGGTTTATAAAATAATGCACAATCTAGTAAAACCCTAGAAATTATGTTCATGTTTTAGACCGGTGGGTTAACATAACTTTCTTATAGCTGCGTTGTATTTGTTCGAAACTAGTTGAGTTACTAACAGGGATTGTAAAGAGAAGCTAGTGTGTCACGTTCTAGAACACACGATGAAACGAAGGCTGTACCGATCTCAATCGGAGTAGCATCTGACTAATAACAATCCAGTACTGCCATATGCAGTTGCTCGTCATATTTCGAAATAAGGTAGCAATGGATATGAGAAAAAGAGGATTGAAAATTACTTATGGAAAAGCAAGTGTTACTTGTAATAATGTGAAGAAGGGATACGTCTTATTGCAGATGCTTGGGTTGGGGGATACATGGGTGGATGATCATACCTTCAGCTGCTACCGAAGAATGTTCGTTGTAGGCCATTTGCGCTCACGTACTTATCCACTAGTAGTTTTGAGGAATCAGATGATGTGGCTGAAGCTACTTCCTTCAGCAGGCCTATCCATAAGGCACGTAAGCTATGTGAGAAGAAGCTTCGTCTCATTCTCGACTTTGTCGGACTTTCGGTTTTGGGCCGATGCCGTTGACCTATTTGGGTGGTCCACTTGGTGAGTGATCTTGTAGGATGTTATTAGGTCACCTCTTTTCCTTCGGTAGCTTAATGTGAGTAGGATGAGTTGTCCAAGGCGTTGTGCTTTTTTTGCTGTTAGTAAGGCAACCACCCTCATCGCCCTTCTCTGTAGCTTCTCCAAGTAGTCACGTCTGTTTTCAGTGCAACGGGGGCTATCGTGTTGAATACTTCCTGGTGTGGTCTAACATAGGCTTATAATATCATGAGGAATAATTCTGGAGCTAGCGCTCCAAGCTGTCTCCTAAGAAACTGCATTATGGCGTTTGCCGTCACCCCCATTCCTTCATGGCTGACACTAGTCCTAGGTCCCTTTCTGTAGATACCCTGGTGATTGCACACTTGTTGAGAGCGAGGCTGATTTTTAGCGCTCCTTGTCTGAGGAGATATATCACCTTGCATTTCTCCAAGTTGAAGCTCAACCATTCTCAGCTGACCAGGACTCCAGCTATAACAGATCCCCTTGGAGTATCCTAGGCTACTCTTCCTCACCTTTTGTTCTCCACATTTTTATGTCATTGGCAAATAGGAGGATAGATGAAGGTATTTTTGCGGGAAGGTCCGTGATGAACAGTAGAAGTAGGAGTGGAACGATTATGGCTCCTTGAGAAACTTTAGTTCCTTCACTTCCCAGGTTGGTCGAATTCAGTTTACTTTGGTACGGAATTTTATGTCCTCTAGACATACTGTGGACCCTGCTAAGAGCAGTCCAGTGATACCTACTTTTGCAAGTTTGGGTAGCATGGTGTAGTACGGGACACTATCAAAAGCTTTGGCCAAGTCCAGAAAGAAATGTGACCTGGCTACTTGTTGTCCTCACCGTTGGCCGACTTGCCCCTATCGGTCATCAGGTTTGTGGCACATGACCGATCGTTTCTGAAACCGTCCTGGATGGGATGAAAGATGTTACTTCCGTTAAGGTAGCCCCAAACAACATCTGCAACCAGGCTTTCTAGTGCCCTGGATGGGATGGAAAGCTATCCCATCGGTCTGCAGCTGCATGCTGCTTTTCAGTCTCCTCCCCTGAGAGGATAGTACGCTTCCATTCTCTTGGGAGTTGGCTTAGCTCCAGTAAGTGCGTGAACAGGCTGCATATGGACATGCTTAGCACTTTGGCACCGTTCTATAGGACCACCGGTCCTACGTCGTCAAAGCCCTAATATTTCCCTATTCTGAGTATGAAAAGTTTCACAAACACTTGTTTTGAAGGGATCTATGAGTTCATCAACTTTGTGTCACAGTCCTAGAACTTCGTTACATTACTAAGTCTTGGTGTTGGGAATACCCCTGTGATAAGCCACTCGTCAGGTTGACTGTTCGAAAGTACGGCCAACTCACAGCCATTCAGAGATTTTTCTTTCAGTCTTGTGATCAGGTTTAAACCTTTATTCATCGGTTTTCATTGTTGCATAAACCTATATAGGCCCTTCGGATTGTGATTTATCTTTTTGGGTGGGCTACTCTGGTATTTGTACATGCCATGACGAACACTTATATTATATCGATTGAGCAACTCCTTGTAGTTAAGACAGCCTGATTCCATGTGCGATATGTACCATGGCCCCTTCTTCCTCTCCACTTGTTTTGGGTTGTGCAAGTAACTCACGGCCGTTTGAGAGGTGGACGTCTGGTTAATTTTCGAACAGTCTTTTCGACAGCGCTCCATAGAATATCTGTAATATGTATCCAGTGTTAGCTTATCGGTGGTTGATGCCATTCTTGCAGCACAAATTAATTAAATAAGTAAATAAATGTTTTATTTCCAAATTAAGAATTTAACATGGGAGAGGCCAGTTAACACGCATCATCAAACCGATAATGGTGGAGATATCTCCATTAATTGAGGTATCCTAAATGATACAGATGGCAGTGTATCTTTCGTCAAAAGCGGAACGCTTCTGGCCGAACTACCAATCGTCTCCCCAAGATCATCAGACAGGAATGCCAACAGTGCCTGATTCATTCTTCCCTGGCAGGGTTGGACAAATACAACGTCCGCAAAAAATCATCGCCTGCTAGAACTTTGTCCGGCGGTGATCCTACCCATCTGGCTCCCCTCGGGTAGACATAAATACACCTCTATGGATAGGACGAAAACTCATTTAGGTGGCTTCGTTGTCCTGTTCAAAAATGCACGTAGTCTTTTAAACAAGTGGAATGGGCTTAGTAATGGGACAAACAACGAAAGCCCTGACATCATTGCTATCTCAGAAACTTGGTTCTCTTCTCGGATCAGTGACCGTGAAACACTTACGAAGATCCACCCCTTTTAGAAGTGACAGGTTGGCACGCAAAGGTGGCGGTATCATCCTTTACGTTAAGAATACCTTGACTGTAAAAGCCGTAGAAACAGTTGCACATGAAAGTGAGACATGTGAAATGCTGCGCTGCAGACTAAAATGCAAGGGGCAAGATGTCAACGTAATCGTAATATGTCGAAGCCCTGAATGTGAGGCGGCAGACTTCCTCCTGAGTAAGCTGACCCTCTGGACAGATAAATGATGTCCAGTTGTAGGAGACATCAACGCACCATCAGTTGACTGGGATAGACTAGCAACAAAAGCACCACGAGATTTGTTTGGCCACCGGTTAGTGAAAACACCAATTTCCTTAGCGGTCATACAGCACATTACGACACAACCAGATATGATCATCAGCACGCTCCATCAGTTCTAGACTTGGTATTCTCACATGCGGATGATGTATGCTTCATCTGGCACCTAGCACCCATTGGCAAAAGTAAACACGCTGTGATCATCCTCAGATTCACAGCAGACGTCTTGTACCAGGCCGGCGCTCCAGCTAGACCCAACATATGGAAAGCGAATACGGAAGCTATGAACCTGGCAGCCTCTTCGGGGGACTGAACAGTCAATCCGGAAGCCTCAGTTGAAGGTGGGTAGTGCTCCTTCAAACAGTTATTTGCACGAGTGACCCAACCGTTTATTCCGTTGACTGTCCCGAGAGAACGGAAACACCGTCCTCCGTGGATAAACCACGAAATTCGAATCTTGCTACTAGGTAAGGAAAAGTGTTGGAGTCTTGCCACCCACCTCGGTACACCTGAAGAGTTGAAGCATTACAAGGAAGCCCGCAATAAATGTATCGCTGCTATCCGCCGGTCTCGAATATGCTAGTCGTGTGATCCCTGTGATGTCTGGCCTCACCTATGAAGACCGACTTAAGCAGCTGAGGCTCTTCACTTTGAACTACCCCAGACAGAGGGAGAACCAGTCATGCTATATAGGATCCTAAGAAAAGACTTTGGACCTGATCTATCTCCTGTTTTCACTAACCGTCATCTTATTAGTATCGTTAATAACCCTAAACAGTTGCCATGTGTGACCCAACGCTGATGTCGCTTCCATTTCTCTCACTTTCGCCACCCACCACTCGTGGTTAACACGAAGACTCTTGGTCAACTTACGTTTCTGTTTCTCTAGCTGTTCATTGTCATCGGAGCCAGCTGGAATCAGTCTTCTCGTATCAGTCAGTTCAGATAACGTCACGGAAATTCAATGATGTTCGCTAACCTTCAAATGAGGGTGACCAGCTGTCTTTACAGTCGTTTCCACAGCATACCTAATATCACGCTAGATTTCCTCAGGATAAGCATTATTGTCACGTTCAGATGAATGCCTAGCTAACTCCTCTCTAAATACGTTTTTGGCATCCCTATCTACCAATCGAGCACAGACAGACCTCACTGACTCCTGTTTTCTGTGGCCAGTAAAGCCCAGACATACGCAAGCCTGTACTAACGCGTGATTGGTATCCAAACAGGGTACTCCAACGATGGCTTATAACAATGTGATCTTTCTATGTCCATCATTGGTTTGAAGTCGGCGGACGCCAGGTGATACAGTGTCTCTCCTCGTGCCTAAAGTTAGTGCTGGCTAGAAACAAGTGGTTGTCGGAGCGAAATTGCAACAGACGATCATCGTTCTCGTTTCGTTGCCGTGGGATTCCGTAAATGCCTCCCAGATGCCTCTCCGATTCGTTCAGCTTAGCCTCCTGACTTGAGCGTTAGTCACCTGCTCTTATAACTACATACGAATTTTTAGAAAGTCACCATGTAACTTTTATCTTTAAATCTCGTAACATTTTACTCAAACCCTCTATACCCTGAGATTTACAAACGATAGTAGACTAGTCGCAAAGTCGACACTATTTCCAGAATTGCCAGAATTATGAACTTCACCTCCCAGAGTTGTTCAGTATGTGTTCATATCTGATCTGATAAATATATAACTGTTTATGCACGTAAAATTTTCAGTGTAATCCTACCGAACCCAGTGGATACCAACTTTGACCCAGTGAAATTAATAATTAGATTACAGTTTTAGTCGGCAGACACTATAACACCTATCGAAATAATATTCAAATCTCAGGTAATGTGCAACGGAAACTATAATCTTCTCAACCTCGACGAGAGTTTGAGGATCGACATCTACGTCCCATTCAGGTTTGGGTTAGCAGGATACTGGCCAACTAAGGCGTTGCTGCAGATCAGCTGGACTGTAATTCAAAGTGTTTAGCTCATCGTTCTCGCCATCTGTGATCCCGTTAGCAACCATCACCTTCGAGTTGACGCAATTCCCAAGTATGTGAAGTGCTTGACGCATTCCATCACTTCACTCCCCATCCTTAAACTGAGTTTAGTTGTAGACCAGTCTTGGAACATCCATCGCCTCATATTTAGAAGGTGCGAAATGCGTACCAAACATGCTCAGATTTCTGCTCAACACGTTCAGAAGACCCTGCATTTTGTTAGCGACTTCATCTAGCAAAACAATGTCATCTGCGTATTCCAAGTCAGCCGAGTGCACTCCAGGGAGTATCCAAATCCCCATGAAGTGAGTCAGCTGAACTGTGATTCAAAGTGTTTAGCTCATCGTTCTGGCCATCTGCCCTGAAAGGTTGTCGGCGTACTATCTGTTTTAGTGATTGTTTCTCTAACAATCGTTCTCTTCTGGCCGGTATCCTCAATAAGCCGGAAAAAGTGCCGGGTGTTACGGAATACTACTGACAGACGATGTATGTTGTCGGTTCGTTGGGATGAGATTCCTTCGATACCTCCAACCTGCTTTCCCAATCTAATCCAATCCAGTCGGCTCGGCTCGCCTATCCTCTTTGAGTGCTAAAGTCATCTGCTATTATGACTGTCTGAACGTTTTGTTATATGCAGCAAAATTGAAAGCTTCTCATAGAAGTCATCCTTTGGATCGTCCGAACTGCAGTCAGTGGGTGCGTTGACGGAAACTTTGAGTAAGCATCAGGGGTTCTCACAATACTTCTTAGTTCCTACGGATCCATTCAATCGAACAGCACACAGACGACTGTTGACTGGTATCCAATCGAGATATGCACCTTATGCTCTACAACTCAATACTATGCTTATACCGGAGATTCGATGAGAGCTAACCATTGGATCTGTGGATACGCACCAGGTGAATTTTGAAGATTCACTACAATGCTGAGGTGAGGTCAACCTAATAACCACACTCGAGTCTTGTATACGTGTCTCAGCAAACATCCACGGTCAGAGATTCCAGAGTTTTGGCTAGCGATGCTTGCTGTCCGACTTGGCATAGGGTCCCAACGTTGGTAGTTCGAATATGAAATCGATGGTTGAGGTGTAGTGAGACTAAGAATGAGGCTTCGATGGCCACGGCCACTGCTTTGGTCGTCAACAGTAGTTACAGGGTGAGAAGTTGAGGCAGGCGCAGGAGACCTAATATTAGTATCGGGAGGTGATGGGGAAAGGGGAGGCAGGGTCGAGGAAGGCTATTTCTTCCAAGGGTACCTGGAAGAGAAAAAGACTAGTGTGACCGTAGAGCCTATGGGTCGTTCGCTTGACACTTGTCACACACAACCATTTGAGAATCGCTGTTATGAAATTTGGTTGTTCTAACAGGGGATAGATAAAACCCATACCACCAGCATTGGAAAATGGTGGGGCTGGGAGTTTCCGGAGGTGACATTTCCTGGCCCCTCTATAGGGAAGGCAGCACCAGTGCGGCACTGCTGGTCATTCAAGTGAAACACCTTATTACTGTCACACACCAGCCAACCAGAAGTACGACTTTGTCCTTGGATCCCCTTCATATCGTAGCAATTCACTCTCTATTCGTCTTACTACTATGCAGCAAACCTTTCTGGCATGGTAGGACCTCGAGGGATTACTACTCATTTCGCCCTTGAACAATGAGTTGTATTTGAAGAACTATTATCACTCTAACTTTATCGAATGACCTTAACATTAAGTTATAACCTTTTTTCTATTTGTCCCTGGGGTTCCTAGTGGAACATAGGGCTTCAGTAGCACGTCACCATTTCACTCCGTTCTCTGTAGTCTTTTCAACCTGGCTCCACGACTGCCCAGAAGCTTTCGTTTCTTTCTCACACGATCTCCTCCATGTCACCCTCGAACACCCAACTCGTCGTTTCCCATTTGTGTTCCACTCGACGGCCTGATGTCCCAAAAAGGTCAGCTCAGTGTATGTCCACTCAATCTACACTTTCTTTTGCAAATTTGTCGGGTGATGGATGGGTCCTTGGTTGGTTTGTTGCCAGCCAGCCAGAGTTCCTTGTTGCTTATTCCCATTATTATGGCCATCTGATCTTCAGTATCGAGTGGGCGTAGGCGGCAGCTGTTGATGTGATGTATGCCTGTAGTTTGTTGGAAGTGCTTTTCGTGACGCGCCAAGTTTCCGAACCATATAGAAGCACTGACTTGACGTTGGTGTTGGAAATCCGGATCTTGTTCATGCTTTGTGCTAAGTGGAGTGTAGTGCAATAGATCTCCACACTGGTTTCGGTTTAATACGGGAAGGCCTGTCTTGCTGTCTTTACGATCTTGACTTTGACATCCTCATCTGTGCTGCCGCCGCCCGTAGTTGAAACGATGCTTCCTTGCCTAGGTAGGTGAAAGAGACAACTTCCTTCAGCTGTCTCCCGTTGATGGTGATTGGTGCTTGTTGTTGTTGTTGGTGGTGATGGTGGTTGGGTATCTCCATCCCCCCCTGTCCTCTCCACGTTCACCTGAAGGCATTCCTGGCTTCGCTGCCTCGTCTCTTCTGCCAACTTGTTGGTATTCGCCTGTAGGTCTTCGAGTTTGTGCGATATTAGACATAAGTCATCATCAGCGAAATCCAAGTCTTCTTCTAAGGTCTTTTCATCGTTCCAGCCAGCGTATTCCCATCTGCTTGCTCCTCTCAGTTTGTTGCATGATCCAATCCAGTCGACCACAATCAGGAGGATCATCGGTGATAGTAGGCGGCAACCTTGTCTTACTCCCGTCTTCACTTCAAGGGCGTCACTGAGCTTTCCATGTGAATCCCTTGGCATGTAGCATTGTATAGCACATAGCTGTCGAATGAGGTTGATAAAGGTTTGTGGCACTAAGACCGTAGTATCGAAGCAGTTGCCAAACTACTTCTCAGTCGACGTTGTCGAAGCCCTTTTCAAAGTCGGTGAAGTTGAGGTAGAGAGTTGGCTGGCATTCTATGCTCTGTCCTATGATGATGCGTAGCGTAGCATTTCAATTCGATCCTCACACGATTTGTTCTTCCTGAATCCAGCCTGTTCCGATCGTAATTTCGAATGCAGAGCGTTTTTTAGTTTGTCCAGGATGATGTGTCTTAATATTCTGCTTGGAGTGGACAGCAGCATGATTCCGCTCCAGTTCTTGCGAAGACTTAGGTCACTTTTGTGTGAGAGTTTGACAAGGTAACCCTTCTTCCAATCTGCAGGTACCTCCCCTTCCTTCTTTCCAAACCTTTTGCAGTGGTGGTGTGAGCGTGTCCGCTTCTTATGTCTCTGCGTCTGTTTTCAGTGTTTCTGGAGGAATTCGATCTGATCCTGCTGCTTTTCCGGATTTCAGTAGCTTTATGGTGTTCAGGACTTCACTTCTGCTTCTGTCGGAGGGCCTGTGTTCACTGGTAGTTCTGTGTCTAGGCTCCCGGTGGTATTTCCAGACGAGTTGCAGGAGGTGGTGGTGGTGGTCAATTCAAGAGCTTTTTGAAGTGGTCAGCCCACCGTTTTCTTTGTTTCTCCTCTTCGGTGGTAACTAAGTTTCCTTCACCATCTTTCATTGGTTTCGTCTGTTTTGGTCTCTTCCCATATAGTAACCTGGTTATTTGAAATAATGTTGTCAGGTCTCTGTCTTTTCTGCCTCACTTGCCAATGCGTCGTAGAAGAGTCTTTTGTCTTTCCGCACACTCTTCTCCACTTCTTTGTTCAGTGTTTTATGGGTTGTAGTCAGTTCCTCTTTTCGCTATTCATCCCTGCACTGCACTCGTGCCAGTAGAGATCCATTCCTTGCCTTGCTTCTTCTTCTTCCTTCGTTACACGGCTATGCAGGTTCCCTTCCACATCTCTTTCAAATAGTTCCGGTGTCCTTCCACGCAGGTTTCTCCAGGGATGTTGCTTAATGTCTCTCATCTCTTCCTGATGACCGACGTGAAGATGTCCCTTGTAGTTTCGTACTTCAGTTTCTGTTCTGGGTGTTGAACTTGAACTGTGGTCTATCACCAGCTTCTGAGAAGGCTTTCAACTTGATTTTGAAAGGTTACTTGCACCAGATAGTGAGTGGTGTGAACCTACATCTGCTTCTCTTCTTGATCTGATCTTGTGTCCAGTAGGCTGCGTCTCCATCTCCACTTTCTTGAGATTGAAATGAAGTCGATCTGAATTTTAGTGCATCCATCTGGTGAAATCCATGTCGCTTTGTGAATATCTTTATGTTTGTACACACTGCCTCGCCTCCAATCACCAAATCGTTGAATGCACAGAAATCTGCAAATAGTTCTCCATTCTCGTTCATTTCACTGAGTGCCTCTCGACCCATGATTGGTTCTCTTCCTGTGTTGTCTGCTCTCAGGTTGGTGTTGATGCCCCCCACCCATTAGAATTTTGATGTCACCATCTGAGGTGGAGTCTTGTCTAGTACTGATTGCAGTTGTCTGTGGAAGTCCTCCTTCTTCTCTTCATCTGCATTATTTGTAGGTGCGTAGCGTAGCGTAGCACTGTATGATTGTGACTTTCCTTCCTTTTGAGTTGAATCCATCTTGCTGTCATGTTGCTGATCCTGCACGAGAAGATTGGTTCCTACTGCATGAGAGATGCTCTTCAAGGGGACATCATGATAGCCATTCGAAAACTCAGTGTCCTTGTGGTTGTTGTCTGGGTGACAATATGTGAGTAGATTATTGACTCTGCGGTTGACGGTTTGGAGAGTCCACTTCCAATCAATCTGCTTTCGCAGATTCCCAGCCTAGCACTTCTATACTATGTTTTCTCATCTCTTTTGGAATCTGGGTATCCTTTCCAGCCAGCATCAAACGTGGTGCGGACATTCCATGTCCGTATGCTTACTTTTGCTTTCATCGAGAGAAGAGAAGATACATCGGCTAATTGGCTTCCCGAAGACTTTCACCTACCGGTGTCATTTCGTCTCCTCGATTCCAGTGAAGAATAAGTTTGTGTTTTGCATTTTCTTTGTGGTTTGAAGTTTCTTTAGCGATTGGATTGGTTTTATGGTGTAGGGTGGCTAGCTGGATGCGCAGCCTTCCCTCTTTATCCCGTCTTTGGACCAGCTGGTATCTTTTGAAGTAGTTGACGACGTGAGTTTTGCAGCAAGATATGAATCACGCTTATTTTAGCGGTGGAAACAATATTGTCCTGACAAGAATACAAATGCACGCTTTAGTACAGTACTGAAATCCTGCTACCACTGAAGTTTTTTTAATTATAGCAATACCTATTCCTGAATATACAGAACCACACTATTTTTACAGGCATGAAGACGTTTATGTGGAAACGGCATGTATCGTTATGGGGTGTAATCCCAATCTTCACCTTCGCGTTCACTAGAGGACATAAGTGCGGCACGTTCCTAAAGTGAAACATCCCAGCAGAATAAATGAGCAAAATTTGAATGATGAACAGGTGAGAGTACTATTTTCTCGTTCACACAGGAGGCAGGGCTTGGATCCGAAGAGCACGATTATTGCCCAAAGTAAAGCCTGAGGCTAATAATCCCACTGTTACTGCTCTTATATTTTGCGCAAGAATACTGATGGAAAGTTTGTAGGTGACTGCATTTGTTACTTTTATGTGACGCTTGACTAACCATAAGTACCCTGATGTGCTCTAGTACTTGCCTAATCAGCCCTCACCCAACGTGTAAGTACTGATAATGAAACAAGCCAAAAAACTGTTGTTTAGGAATATACTCGGGAGAGCAATATATTCAAGTAGAGTAAAGAAGAAGGGATTTTAAGGGAGGAAAACTACCCAGCTTATCTGGCTAATATGACTGCAATAGGGACTCTGAGGACGTGAGACCTAAGTGGCACAAAAGAAGCTCAAAATACCGCCAAAGTCTGCTCGGACGCATACTCGTCAAAACAAAACCTAGAATACCTTTTAGGATTTGTCCTGGTGCGAACTTGACAGACGCAAAGACCAATCACTAATTATCCAAACTTGCTACATACCCACGAATACGAGACCAAGGAAGAACACGACAGCGTGGTCGGATGGAATAGTATATTTGGATGGTTATGCCAAAATACCGATGCGTTCCAACTAACTGGCTAGGGAGTCGAATATGAGCAGTGCAACGTAACACGATAGCGTGCCAAGTGGCGAGGATGCTTGACCGGGTGCCTTCAGCTTAGCGAGTCCAGTTAAACTATCAAGGTCAGCATCAATGTCGAAAGTCGTCAAACCCTAGGCTATTGATTTTGGGGAGGTGTATGACGCTACAGATCACCACCCCCTAGTGGGTTCGTGAGGACCCTATGACGATACCAGCCGGAAGTTGAAACCCAGTGGTTTCTCCACTGGTAAAACTCTTCCGATGGGCTCACTGCGTGAGGTGGCCCCTGGTTGTCTGAACCTTATTCTAGGGTGTCGTGGCAATTAAATAAATAAAATACGATAAATGAAATTGTACGTCGGTCGCGGTCATCCGTTGCTTTAGACGTTCCGTTCAGTGCTCGTTGCACCTGGAATATAAATAAAAGTCTTTAATACCACGAAAACGTTGCGTAGAAATGAGAATTATTTATATATAAACATATCGAAAAATAAAAATTTACGCTTATCTTCACCGTTTTTTTAAAAAATTTCATTACATGGTAAATAAAAATTGATATAAAAAAAGGCAGTGTACGAGGGTTTGTATTGATGTAACGGGTAGCAGTCCGGAGTTGTTTTGGCGTTAAGCCTTCGGTAATCACCGGTTGGACGCCAGTCGTTGCTATCCTTTTTGGGAAACATGTGCAATGGCGATGCCCAAGGGCTGTTTGACGGTCTGATAATGCCCAGGTCGAGCATGTGGTCGAATTCATTCTTCGCCGTTTGGAGCTTATCGGGGGCTAGACGGCGCGCTTTGGATGCCACAGGTGGACCCGTGGTTGTGACGAGATGCGTTCCAACTAACTGGCTAGGGAGTCGAATATGAGCAGTGCAACGTAACACGATAGCGTGCCAAGTGGCGAGGATGCTTGACCGGGTGCCTTCAGCTTAGCGAGTCCAGTTAAACTATCAAGGTCAGCATCAATGTCGAAAGTCGTCAAACCCTAGGCTATTGATTTTGTGGAAGTGTATGACGCTACAACCTTAAGCATCCGGAGGCAAGCTAGATGTTCATTTCCTAATATTCAATTGGTCCATTTTAGTCTACTTATTTCGGCAGTAGTTGCATTTGATGCCACGAAGGTGTTCTACATGTTTAAGAATGAATATATTCAATTTGTTTGTTGGCCATATTTTATTGGTCCCTGGACTATGGATTTCATGTAGGCTCGTGCCAGTTCACGCCAAAGACTTGTAATCTCGCTAAATACTACGACTAAAAGTCAAATATTTGCACTTTAAAACTCCAGCATCTAAAAGTAATAGTTGTGTTTGAACGCATCAAATAGACTCTCAGGATAACTTGTCCGCCATTTTCACGGGTCGTTATATTTGTGGTAGAGTCTAGGTGATACTCCAATGGGCGACTTGGTAGATAGTGTCATGTAACCAGTATTTTTAAACTTATAGTTTTCGGATGTCTATTTGGCACTTCAGTCGGGTTTTAATCTGTACATTAGGAGCCTAATTATTCTCGATAAATCTGTTATACTTGTGACTATTGTTGCATCACTTTTCTTCTTGGCTAACTTGGGTAAGTAGTTGTTGGAATATCAAACTCTTAAGGCTTTTTAAATATTAATTTCGCCTGTATCTTTTACGCTTTGCTCAAGAAAACGCCTTTTGTCAGGTCTTACATAAAGAAGAAGCTTGGTGAGGTTCTCAAAGAAGTTCATAAAAGTGTTCATAAGAAGACATCACATATTGTTTACGAAAAACGTCTGCCAAAATATGGTCATTCTATGGTAACCTAGTCTAATTTGATGTAACATTTTAAGGAAGAAGTGCTTTCCAGTGTTCAAAAGTACAAAGCATTGGGTTTGTTTGTAAAATTACGTCGTATACATTTTAACAGAATACATAAAGTGGAATGAAGGCTATGCATCCGGAAGCGTTTATCCGAAGGATGATATCCTTAATGACTTATGTGCCAAGGTAAGTTTATATATTTTATACCAACAGTTATCTCTGTCTTCTTTCATATCTCCCACAACTGATTTTTGTATCCTGGCTCCTTATTCTACTCCAGTCAACATTTTCTCTGGGAAACACGGGGGTTAAAAACTCAGAGAGTTGTTGCACCATCCCATGTTTTGTTCAGTGTCTTCATGGCCATCTGAAGCATGCTCCCGAGTTTTGCCCGGTGTATACGTAAGGATTTAAGCCCCCGTTTCAATTTTCTTTGCAACCTTCATTACCCAGCTAAGTTGAAATGCTTAAAAAGTGCCTGATAGTCTTAAATTAGGTTACCTTATTCTGTTTCGGTTTGCTGTTTCATTCGTTCTTAAACCTATTAACTTCTTACAGCATGAGATGTTTGTTTTTGCAGACCGTCTCTAAGATGTAAATAATGTAATGACTGATTTTCTTGACTTAAAGTTTGGTACAAGGGAATATATACTTTCAATGAAGGTGCACATAGCGAACTCACTCGAACAGTCTATTAAAGTTAGTAACGGATATATCAGTTTAATATCAGGTAACAACCCAGTTTACACCCTAGCAAGGCGTACAGAGTAGTTTCCAAGTTGTCACCAAGCTTCCAGGTTTTCGGAAACTACATAAATACCATAATCTGAGCACTTTTAATATCTGTTAGCTTATTTAGGAAAACAGGAATCTCCATTTTCCCTTATAAAGTTAACTGAATACGTATAGTAATGATGGGCAGTGGAATCCAGGATACGCATTTCGTCCTATTTGGGACTCGTCAGCTGAGTGTACCTGCCCCCCAATGAGTGATATTGTTCCCACCGGGACTCGGACTCGGGGGCGATCGCTTTAAACGCCCTGAGAGCCCCATCATAATATAGTAATTTACGTCACAACAGTAACTGCTTTTCGTCAAAACCACTCCAACAGACCTTTCTGGTATGTTAGGACCTCGAGAGAACAAGTGTTCCACCAGTACAGCTCGTTGGGTCATTGTAATATGGAAGCCCAACCACTACGTCAAGGTAGTAACTATCGGTCGGGAACAACTTTCTAAGTAGATACCATTGTTTGCATCTATACAACTGCGTTACGTTTGCTTAAAAAGATCAACAAACTGAGTAAATTAAGTGACAAGCTTAATGCTGATTTTATTCGAGTCACCGATTCATGGATTTTTCCTCATATCAAGAACTGGCAACCAACACTACCCGGTTATGTAGCAACAAGATTCCTGAAAAGGATGTGGGGCAGCGCTCTACGTCACCCCTTTGGAGCTTTTTAAGCCCATACTCAACTACTTGAGTGCCGTTCGGGATCAGTATGATGTTCCATTAAACTAAAGTTTCAAGGTGTTTAATGAGGGTGATATATGAGTAACCATCTGTAGACTGTCATTATGATAGTTCGTGTCAGTCTATAGACCACTCTCTCAGACTAGGGTACATATATTCTGATTTTGGGGGATTTCAATCATCCTGAAGTTAACTTTGTGAAAGACAGGCACTGGAAACAATGATTCCAGAACAAAACTTACTCGTCCTGTGGATCAACTTCACTAGAAGCTCAAATGACTTGATGTTTTATTCATTCAGAATTTTCTAAAACGGACAAGTTGGGAAACTGTCAGCCTAGTCAGTGTATCCCAATTTCATTTTAAAAGTGTCACAAACAACCTAAGGTAATGCGTAGTATCATCTTTAAGCGTGAGATTGGAACTGTATCACTGGACTAAGCAAATGAAAAACGGCTTTGGTTCTACCTACAAAAAGTTCAAACAAATGAGAAAGTTTTGCTACAAAACATTAAAAAATGATGTCCCAACTTATCATTATATTTGTATGCAATCTAAAAAACGTTTTTCAGTATCGATCTACCAGACCTAGGTAAGAGTTCTCTGACTCATGGGTCCCGGTTGGTTGGCTACCAGTGACACAGGCGGATGGAATTTCGACTGGTCGGTATTTACAAACTTTACGTACATCTGCAGGTACATATGAGCATCCTATAGAAAAAGCACGACCTTCAACTGTTGATCTGATTGTCCAGGTGGTACATCGTAAGCTAATTTTTCTTGCTGCACCCATGAACAGTTTATTCACCTAACTTGTATGTAGTGCCTGAACTTTAAAAGGTAGGTCTTATCATACCTAGTTTATGGGGAGATCAATGAAGTGGCCAGATAAATTACAGACCTGTGGTCCTTTTATTCACGCGTTCTAAAGTGATGGGATCACTAATTCACGATAATTTATGCAACTAACTAACATCTAGCTTTTTCTTGGAACCCTTACAGGATACATTTAGAAACAGATATTCGTGTGCTACCAGTGTTCTAACCGCAGTAGATAGGTGGACCAAAATTGATCACCGAGGTAGATTAAATGTTATATACCTTGTTAACCTCGAAAGTTAACTTGAATACTATGAGATGAACCTTAGGCTTATCTTTTGCTTTCTGAGTTGTTAGTTCTTGAAATGCGTTCAAGGCTACAGCATCGAATTCTGACAAAAATTAATTCTATCTGGGAGTTTGTAGAGGTTTATTAATTGGTTTTAGATTGGAATTCACCATGGACTGACATTAGTTGGAGGAACATTAGAAACCTGGGAGCACTGGTTATGTTTCGTTCTAGTATAGGACTCCGCAGTTCGATCCCTGGCGGGGTCATGGATACGCACTTCTGAGTGTCATACTAAGTCGAAACAGCTGTCCAGTGCCCCAAGGTTTCCAATGTTCCTCCAACTGATGTCAGTCCATGATGAATTCCAATCTAAAATAAACCTTATGTCTAATGTAGGTCTCAGCGTAAGCCTACGTTTTAAACTTAATGTTTTTTTTCTTATTTAATTTTTTGTACACCTAGGCTTTGTTATAGAAACTAGTGATCCACTGCTTCTAGACTCGGTAGCTTCTGTTTCTTAACTATATGAAACCACTTTAAATTGGGTAGAATCATTCAAGCTCTTCTTATCCTTTCCGAGATTTCATCTACCATAAACTTTTCCAAGGTTACTGTGACTGCTGGCACAAATTAGTTCGTAAACCGGCCTATCACTTTACTTCCTATTGTTTAAAATAGTTTTGTTGCAGATCTGTCCTAAAGAGTAGTCTTGTATAATTCAGAGGTAAACGCATCCTAAACATTTTTAAATAGTCACCGAAAGTGTTTATAATTCATATGGAGAATGATAATAAATTCCATATCGAGTTAAAATTCAGTGGAAATGGAAGTGCCAACAGGTTAAGAACTCAGTTGTTTTCATTTACTTAAAATTCACCGAATATCTTGAATAACTTCATTACCAGGAGAGGTTACTACTGCTAATATATATGATATGCTATTGTAGACAATAAAATCTTCCTAGTAGCAGCCCAAAAACAGATATGCATAAAGCGCGTCACTCGTGTGCCGATGTACTTGGCTGTAGTCCGTACTTAGTCACAGTCAGTAGTACTGTTGAACTGCCTAGTCGTCCATTAGTGTAACAGGGTTCAAACAATTGATCAAAAAATTAAATTTCAATTTCGTAAATTGGTAAACCGCAGTTATTTCTTGAAATGTTTACCTATATGTGATTCTTCTGAAGGTTTTCAAAGAATTTCTTTGGACAAATCCACTACATCCAGATCTTTTTGTGGATATTCGCCGAATGGAAGCTGAAATAATACGAATGTGCGTAACAATGTTTCATGGAAACGAAGATGCCTGCGGTTCTGTAAGTTCAAGATGTTCCATCCATTCGCATCGGTATTTAAAGTGTAAAAGGGAATGATTTCGTTATATATATATATATATATATATATATATATATATATATATATATATATATATATATATATATATATATATATATATATATATATATATATATATATATATATATATATATATAGGTTAGGCGTAGGGTTCTATGCGTTATGCCAATTGATTGTCTGTGCATGTGTCACCCATCTTCTCCAAAATGATACCTTAATTAATGCTGGATTAAGTTAAGAAAGCTGAAGATAGTCTGACCAAAAGGTGACACCAATCTATGAATTCTAAGGCTATTGTTCTGAATCGTGCGAAAAGATGCAGGCTACTTGATAGAAGTCCTTAAAATAATATAACTGAATGATTTGCAAACTTTGAGTGATGTAACTCAAAAGTGATCACGATGAATGCACACGTGTCGACCTTTGTCTAACATCTTCACTAATATTGACTTTTCCTCCTTCGGCACTTCTATCCACTTTAATAACATTCATTTTCGATCCTTTTTTTTCTTCCTAGTCATTGCAAAGTGTGACAATTTAAACTGATGCGATTCTGTGTAAATGTGTACACTGATCTTCCTATCCCTCTCTCTTAACATAATACTTTCATGTAATGAAGGTTTCCTGTGAAATTTTGGATTATTGTTTAATCCTAGCTTAGTGTTCACACAATTTTGTGATTTGTTGTGGTATAATGTGCTTTGTATACCCTAATTTCATCTTTCATCTCTTATCTAATCCCATTAGACTACATCTGGGGGCACTGAAAGCATAATGCTTGCTTGCCTAGCTTATCGTCAACTGGCAAGAGAACGCGGCATTAAACATCCAAATATGTAGGTTTGGGCATAATACTTGATGTTTTTTAAATCAAATTTAATAGCAGTACTTATTATGGTTTCTCATAACCTTCAGAAGTGTAAGATTAAAACTTGGACACTGAGAAGTATATTTCCAAGGTAGCCTTTGCTCGCTAGAGATTGTTGTACAGCATTGTCTTTTATCAGCTTTTAAATTTGTAAGGAATTTACTAATTACAGCTTATTTTCAACACCGAAATACTTAGTGCTCATCTTTCTGAGATTTTTAGTGAAGTGACGGGGGTTGTAAATAATTAAAGTTGTAATTTAACGTACTTTCATTGCCTGGCATACTGGTACACTCTGATCAAAGTTGAACTTAATAACTAGATTGTGATGCATAGTTGGTCTAGCTGCACGTTGGGATGCTTATCATCAAGTGATTGCTGGTTGTTTTTCTTAGGATTGTTCACTCGTATTGAAATAATCAATTGAAAAATGGTCAAAATAGCGTTAGAGGTATGTGAAGTAAATGTAAGTCATTAGCATCAACGTCTCCCTCTATGTCCCACAGTAACCTGCATAAAGTTAATCCTCAGTAACCTTATATTGACAATTACCTACCTACCACTTATCTTAGGGCTTGTGAAGATCTTTTGTGAATATCGAAACTATAATCCCTTATACCATCTATCTACTTTCAAGGATAATCTCGTTTCGTGTTTCCAATTATGACTAGTTTGTTTGTATTCTGTAACTCGAGACTGAAAATGAAGCTCATGTACTAGCTGCTTATTCGGTTAATCTTTGACAAAATGAGCTGCTACAAGAATCGGTCACTATCAAATCCCAAGTGCTCAGCATTAAATATGGTCTATAAATCAAGTTTAAAAGTAGCGAGTAAGCCGTGTGATTTAACTCTGTTCTACATTATGCTTGTTGTTAAATATCAAGAGCCAATTGGCTAGAATCCTTGGACCTAAATTTTATGCTTGTTTGCACCATACCGTGCGACATTTCAATGAAACGGGATTTTGGGAACTGTCTTTTTCCTGGTTTGTCATTTTTGACTTAACTATGCCACTACCATCGGCCAGGAAAAAAAAGCATGATTTACTGTATAATTTTTATACGTATGAAGTTATTTCTATGTATCACTAGTGCATTTTCATCGAATTCACAGATAACGATCGGATTGTTTTTGGTCCCATTGATCACTTAATATGAATACAACCAACAACTTATTTCCGAAACGTTATCCAGTAAATGATACTGTTTCACTGTGCGACATTTCTAATAAACAGACTAGAATGTTTTCGTTCCAGTCAAAGAAGTGCATTTAGTGGAAAGCAACAGTGCAGCCAAATCGATTATATAAGCCAGTTGTACAGGTCAGTTGCTGTATCAGGATTTCGGTGGTATAGTTGCTAGATTTAGCACTGAATTGTTAAGGTTTGAATCTCCAACGGAACATAAATTTTCTCAAGGATGAAGATACACCCAACTGATGAGTGCCAACATGGACGAAATCTGTGTCCACAGCTTTGTGCTGTGGACATTGAACATTAGAAAACAATGCACCACGGTGGTGTAGAACTTACTTTAGTGACCGTAGTGCGAAATTCTACCTGTAGGTGAGACCTAAGATCTACATCAGTTAAAATTTGGTGACTGATCTGCAATACCACTCGGTTAGGTTCACATACTGCAGTAAGATTTCATTTTGTCGCCATTTTCACAGGATGGTTGAGGGAAAACTACTGTAAATCTAGCTTATACGAAGGTGCTGGGTAATAAAACTACACCTATAAATGCTATTTATCACACTGAAGTCGTGATTTTTATGTGTTTCTTGTGTGCCTATCCCACTGATCGATGGGTTAAAAGTAACTTTTTCAGAAGTCTTTCATTTCTTCAATGTTCTTGTTCTCAATAAATTAATTTATCGTAATCAGTACATCCAACTATTCTTATCTGGGAATGGAAACCTCTCATAACGATGTCATACGTATTAATATATGATATTCTTAATGAAAAAGTACTTTTAGTGTTACACGGTTGGTCCTGTCAAACGTTGAAGGTGAGAGTAAGCAAAACTGGCATCCTGGATGTTTTGTCAGCGCTATTGTGCTCACATGATTTTTACGATGACATATGTATGACAAACAGAAAGAGTAGTAATGTGTTCTCTTATGTCAGTCGTAGCAAGTATATCTATGAATAGTTGGGAACGGCTTTGTAAACGTTTGATCCTACACCTAAGATATCGTGGCGACAAGTGGATGACATATGTTTTTCAAATCGGGATATATCGACAGTTTTTTCACACGTAAACCCAGTAGTAGGCCCAATCCAATTCGCCTACGAAGTAGAAAATGAACAAGAAGAATTAACTTTATTGGATTTCAGAATAAAACAAAGAAAAGATGGTGGTTTCGATACTAGCGTCTACAAGAAACTGGCATATTCTAACAGGTATCTAGATTTCAGATTATCTCATCCAATATCAGTTAAGGCGGGTTTAGTCAAATGTCTAAGTGAGAGCTAGAAAAATCACTAGTCAGTGCAAGGAATCACCCAAGTAATCGAAACACATAAAAGAAACACTACTAATTATTAATTATCATCTACACTATCAAAAAATTCGTAGGGATATATAAGAAATGAATTAACAACAGTAATACGAATTCAAATAGTAGTGACAACACGAGTAGGAAGGATTTCAAAGCCTCCATCGTGTTGCTATAGAAGGGGGAAAAATCAGGAAATTTACGTAGGATTCTCAACAAGGTTTAAATTAGGGTGGCATTTAAAGCTGCAAACTTGCTCAGGGACAAGTTTTGTCATCTTAAGGATCCGGTAGATCCAATTAAGCACAATAATCTGATGTACGGAATTCCGTGCAATGACTGTGAGCTCAAGTTCATAGGTCAAAATAGCCTATTAAGGTCAGTTAGATTATCAAAACATAGGAATTTGAACAAATATAGAATGACAGACCCCAACAGGATCAATAATCTGTAGAAAAAAATTCGGCTATTACAATGCATGCATTATTGCACAACCACCTAAAAGGTTGGGATAATTCCAAAATAGTTGGGTGAAAAGGTTGATTACTGAATCTTTTTATTATAAATATTCATTATAAACATATTTATGACGAATTGATTCTCCACAATGCACATGTTTTTCGTGGATATAATTACTGGATCTTTGTTCATCGAATTAACACCCAACATACGTAGTAGGAATGATGCAGCGCCCATGCCAAAAATGTGAAAACTTTTACTACCACTGAAAGCAAAGAATATGAGGTGGTAGAACTATAAAAATCAGATGTTGAAAGTTGTGTAATTACATTGGCATGATTATGAGCAATAACTTATGCTCGAAACGTCGTCAAGTAAATAATACTGTATCACTATGTGCTATGTCAAGTAAAAGACCTAATGTAGGATTGTATTTTACCACATTGCCCAAGTTTAACATTAACGAAGTTACATGATTAGTCAGCGATCAAATTTCACTCTAGCTTTTGTTGAGCATCACTAAATGTATTCTGGCGGTAATCTTATTTTAGGGAATGATTTAAACAAAGTGGTGCTAAATAGAAAAGCGATTTAAATCCACACTGGATGCTCATAGACTGTGTTTGGCCACAAAAAAGTATCATTTTTACGAAACATGATGTCTGTCAAAATTTACTGATTCCCTTCGACAATTACAATCTAGTGAGGTGTAAACGTTGACATACTTTTCGGCAGATTCCACGTCTTTTCTAGAAGGCAGTTGTTTGTTCTACCGTTGAAAGATTATGTAGGTTTCTCTCAACCACTTAGAGGTGTTTGTCGCTTATGAAAATCAGTATCATCATATATTCGTAATATATATAACACGAAATCAATGCTGAGATTTAGTTGTTAACCTGTTGAACTGCTATAACGTGACAAAGTAATGTCTAGTCATGAAAACCAACTGCAACGAAAGACTGTAGTACTGGCCAACAAAACAAATTGTTCGGGGAAATTAAAGGTTTACTCATATGCAAATTAAACGTTATTATAGCCTGTTTCACATGTCTTACAACAATAAATCGTAGTTCATTTTGCTGGCCAGTTGTTTTAGGCTCAGATTAGCTCCATTTCTGACTATCATACCAATATTGACTTGAATTCTGAAGCGTGATGTACCTCTATACAAAATTCCACTCTGATTTGTCTGCCTCCTAAAATGTGAATTATATCGAGGTGAAGCAAATTTGTTATACTGATCATTTCTGTTAGTACGAAACCCAAGCCTAAGAAGTTTCCTGACGTCCACCGTCAAAATAAAAGCATGAAGAAAAACGTAATTCAGTGTAATACTAAATTAAAAAGTAATTATATATCACTTAGCTTGTAGTGACTAGTTTACACGCTGTGGTTTACAACGTCCAGTTAATGCGGTTAACTGAATCATGAACCTAAATACTCTTTGATAAGTTGCTCGTTGTTGTATTTTTTATTGTTAGATGGTATGCTTTAGCTACTCATGTAAAATTCATAGTTGTTTTGCAGGGTGATCCCGACCTCAGCCCACCCAGCATTTGATAAGGTATAGTGTCAGTTTTTAAAATTCGTTGTTCATATGCATACTTATTGAATGTTTTTTTGCATGTTTAACTATATATAAATAGTATAGTTAACACTGTTCACCAATAGCACTCTATTCCTCAAAGCCCTACATATTGTTTGAGATTTTCCCTTATTCAGAACGATGTAGAACAAGAACATGTAAATAAGTAGTTCATGTTCGAAGTGCCTTTATTGTTTGGAAGCTAATGGTGACCGCATCTCAGCAAATATCTTTTTAATCATAAACGTACACTACCTCACCAGTTGTGTTCAAATACAGCTTAAACACCTCCCAAGAAATCAGCTGTTGTACATGAATCGGTCACTAGTGGGTAACCAATACAGTCTTTTGTGCTCAGCTCTGAATGAAGTATGTCGATAGAGATTGCTGATGATTGCCGAGAGGCATGAAACTTAAGTAAAGTTATACCGGGCGATTGGATTTCAACATATAACACCTTAATTTTTTGCTGATGTGCAGAGTATTAACATCCTTTATGTCGGTCATGTGACGAATTACATCAACTGAATCATAGTATTTTTGTATGTAGATGCTGTTGTTGGGCGGCTCGAAAAGAAACCTCAGAATGTTTAACATACGTTTTCTACTTTCCATACTTTCGAGGTGGATTGTACATGAATATGGTTTGGTTACCAGAGCGGAGTGATTCAACACATTGAAAAGGTAGTCGTTGTCTAAAACTCCACAAATAAGCATGAATCAAGTCAATGTCACTTGTTGCACATAGATATAGTTCTGTAACTTAACTGGAACCCTACTAACAACACTAACTCAACAATCACACGCAGGTTTGTGCATTGTATAGTGAGCCACACCTGTTTTTTGATGGCTGATGATATTATCCAACTGCCCAAACTTCGGTTAGATGAGACAGGATGGAAAACCACCTCAACTTCACAAACCAATAAACCAAAGCTCCATCTTCCCGATAATTAAATAAAGTACCACTCAAAAACCATTTCATTTGTTGTATGGTTCCCGATTACCGAACTAAACAAAATAATATAGTCCATCATATTCTTTTGTAAACTTCCATCGGTATGTATCGTTATTCTTTAGCACTTCATAATCACAATGAAGTCAAGCGTCACGACTCAAAGTAAGTGTTTGCATCCGCTGCTGACTGATAGGTACTACATTGACTTGGTGGTCGGGCTTACATGTCACAACGATGGGACACTTGTGTCCTCATCATCATCATCATCATTATCAACATAGGACCAGGCATTACTGCGTAACGGTCCGAGTTGCCACACCTCATATCAGCACATCAAGTAAAAAGGTAGTGAGGTGAAGGATGAAGATAAGTGAATGCAGTCAAAAGAAATATAAAGTATGAGAAGAAAGGAAAGAGGAGTGACAAAATAGTGAGATTCGGTATAGCGTTGTTAAGATGAGGATAATGTGTGTATACATCTGCGCCACTGACTTCGGTTCTGAGCCATATCACCTAGGGTCTCCAACCACTGGTTCCTCTTGTCCCGTGGACCCCAACCACCTAGTCTGCATCGTCCTACATGGCTTAAACCAACAGTCAGAGACTTCATACATTGGTGCCATGTTTTAGTCTGGCCACCTCGGGCCTTTTTCCAGCCTGAACCCACCTCAGCCAACATTGTGTGACGAGGCAATCGGTGACTAGGCATACGTAGTACGTGTCCCAACCATCTCAGTCGATGAAGGTTCACAACCTCGTCGACTGACTTACCTCTTCTCCCTAAAACTCTACACCTAACTTCTGCATTACTCACATGGTGACACCACGGAATACGTCCTATACTACGAAGGCAACGGTGGTCAAATACCTGTAACCTTCTCATGTCTTCCACTTTCAATGGCCATGTTTCACAGCCATACAGTAGAACAGAGCGGACTGCTGTGCAGTACACGCGACCCTTAATAGACAAACGAATATCACGGCGGCGCCATAGGTGGCGCAAATTGGCAAAAGCCAATCGAGCCTTTTGTATCCGTGCAGAAATCTCATCGGCAACTAACCCACCGGAGTTGATCCTACTTCCCAGGTAAGTGAAGTGGTCAACACACTCAACCACTTCACTCTCTATTGTTAACCGCGGTACCGCTGAAGACCAGTCCTGGAGCAAAAATTTGCATTTGGGTGGTGAAAATCGCATCCCAAACATTCTCAAATTCCCACTCAAAGTGTTCAGAAGACTCTGCATCTTGTCAGCGTCTTCACCTAACAGGACTATGTCATCTGCATATTCTAGATCTAAGGAAAATTCACCTGTGATCCGGTCAACGTCTTTGTAATTAGGTGACGAGAGGGAAACCTCCATAAGAATATCTATGATAAAATTAAATAAGAATGGGGATAGTGGGCATCCTTGACGGACACCACTTGATGAGTATAGCTCCCTGGACAACTCACCATAGGCTCTAACATGCCCACAAGTGTTCGAGTAGAGAGCTTTCAATAAGGTGATGTACTTACTAGGCACGCCTTTCAGTGACAGACACTGCCATAAGACTTCTCGATCAACGGAGTCAAATGCCGCCTTCAGGTCGAGAAATACAGCTATTGTCGGGCGTCTGTAAGCATGCCTATGTTCCAGGACCTGGCGCAGTGTGAATATTTGGTCGATACATCCACGGCCAGGTCTAAAGCCTGCCTGGTTTTCTCGGGCTTGCTGTTCCCGAGCTCCACTCAGGCGTCGGAGAATTATAGAACTTAGGATCTTAGACACTATGTTTGTCAGGCTGATTCCTCTGTGGTTATCACAAGAGGACTTCTCGCCTTTCTTGAAGACTGGGATGATCAGTGACTTAGACCAGTCGGAGGGGATCGTATTTGATTCCCATATACTGGCTAACACTTCCGTTAGCCTGACTAAGAGAACTCTACCACCATTCTTGTATACCTCAGCAGGTAGTCCGTCTGGTCCTGCTGCCCTTCCCCGTTTCAGGCTACCTACCGCTTTCTCAACTTCTTCTAGTGTTGGGGGACCTGTCTCTATGTCCCATTCAGGGTCCGACTGGATAGCGGGCAGCGCAATGGTGGCTGGAGGCCAGTTAAACTGTTCCTCAAAGTGTTCTGCCCATCGTCCCAGTCGCCTTCCCTGCGAGTGAATCGCCGATCCGTCCTTCTCCGCTATAACCTCACTAACTGTTGTTGACCATTTCCCCCCAGTCTCCTTAATAAGTCTAAATAACTGTCTACTGTTACCGATCGCCGCTGCCTTTTCCATCTCTTTAGCCTTTGCTGCCCACCACTGTTCACGATCGTTGCGCAGACTTTTCGTCAGTTTATTTTTAAGTTGCGCTCGCTCTTCATTGTACTCAGAGCCTGCAGGGATGCATTCACGTGCATCCATTAGTTTGGAAGAAGCTGCTGATATCCACTGGCTCTTTTTAGCCATTATCTTGGAGTCGGCTACAGTCTCCAGTGCTGCTTTTACAGTAGACTGAAGATGGCACCAAGCTTCTTCTGGATGAGTGACAGTCTTTTGTTCCGATAACTGCCTAGCCAACTTCTCACTGAACACGGCTTTGGTGTTTTCGTTGTCCAGCAGAACTCGTAGTGGTTTTGTTGCCAAATTTTTTCTACGTCCATTGAGACGCAGGCATATACGTGCTCGGACCAACGCATGATCGCTGTCCAAACACGTACTCCAGAAGGAGCGGCAGTCTTCCACCGATCCTCTCCAGCGATGACTAATAGCAATGTGGTCTATCTGTGTCCATCGCTGAGTCGAGCTCGGTGGACGCCAGGTCAGACAGTGCCTTTCTTTATGTCTGAAATTTGTGCTGGCTAAAAATAGGCGGTTATCTGAGCATAGTTGTAATAGGCGATCACCGTTATCTGTACGTTCAGCTGGGATTCCGAAAGTGCCACCTAAGTGCCTTTCTGCCTCACTCAGTCTACCCACCTGTGCGTTGAGGTCACCTGCAACAACCACTACGTCCGAACGTTTGGCTTTCGAGAGGAGGTTAGACAGTTTATGGTAGAACTCGTCCTTCACTTCATCCGAACTACAGTCAGTGGGTGCGTAAGCAGAGATTACAAAGAGACAACGGCGAGTCTCACTATTCCTTTTAGTTCTCACTGTGCCGTTCAGCCTCATAGCGCAGAGGCGACTATCAACTGGGATCCAGTCTAGTAGTGAGTTTTCTGCCCTGGTGCTTAATGCTATACCTACACCTGCAAGACCACGAGAGCTAGCTATCGAATCTCCAGAAACTCGAAGGGTGAATTTTGCAGATTCACCAGATTGGTCAGGAGAGGTCAGGTGAATAACCACACTTGGGTCCTGTATGCGTGTCTCACAAACACAGCACACATCCATGCCCGAGTTGCTAGAGTCTTTGCCAACGAAGCCTGTTGGCCAATTTGACGGAGGGTGCGGACATTGAAGGCTCCAATATGTAATTTGGAGCGTGGTTTAAGGAGACCAGGGACACTGTTCTGTGGACTCAGATCGTTGTCGAAGGCTGCAGAGGTAGGAGAAATTGAAGATGATGCAGCATCATTAATTAAGAGACGTGAAGGAAGATTAGAAGGTAATGATGGAGGAGGAGGATAGCAGTCAGAAGAAACTTGGGTGCTGACAGAGTTGTGAGGGCGGTTGACACTTCCCGGCTGCCCACACCGTGGAAGGCTATTTCTTCTTAAGGTACCTGAAAGAGATTTGTGTGACCGCAGAGCCCATCGGACATCTGCTTGAGGCCTGTCACACCCAGCCTTTTGAGTATGATTATTTTGAATTTTTGTATTTTTGGGGCCGGATGAGCGAAAGGAAACGACAAGTGAACCAACACCGCCGGCCCGGCAGACCGTGGGGCGTGGTGGAGTGTGTTATTTTTGGGGCCGACCTTTTCTAACCCCCCCTTCCACTGAGAAGGCAGCATCAGCTTGGCACTGCTGGTCATCCAAGGGAAACACCTTACTGCTGTCACACCCCATCCAGCTAGCAGCAGTACGACTTCGCCCTCAGACC